GTTCCCAAGATGGCGATACATCCGTTTCCGTTAACGCACTTCCGCTTTGTTCCGTATCCAAGGTCACGTCCCGCCCACTTAAAGAAAGCTTTTACGCCTCCTTGTTAGTCCCGGTGTTCTATTAAATTTCCCTACCTCGTGAAAATCCCCTACCCCCATCACTTCCGGTGAGGGAAATCAGCTGGATCCTGTGCTGCACATGCGTGCTAGCACTCCTGCTACTCCTCCACAGCAAGGTCCTGGAAGGTAAGTAAAACTAGTTTTACACTTTCATTATAGTTAGTGCATTCACTAAGCTTAGAACATGGGACATTTAGGGTTAAGTGAGGGTTCAAATTAGGGTTAGGATTAGCAACTTGTTCATATTTAGTGATATTTCACATTAGGGGAATATCTATTAATAGTGATTTCTCACACTTTATTTTAACCCTTAATCCAAGGGTAAGAATATAGTGTGAGAGAGGTTAAAGGGACACTATAGTCACCTGAACAACTTTAGCTTAATGAAGCAGTTTTGGTGTATAGAACATGCCCCTGCAGCCTCACTGCTCAATCCTCTGCCATTTAGGAGTTAAATCCCTTTGTTTATGAACCCTAGTCACACCTCCCTGCATGTGACTTGCACAGCCTTCCATAAACACTTCCTGTAAAGAGAGCCCTATTTAGGCTTTCTTTATTGCAAGTTCTGTTTAATTAAGATTTTCTTATCTCCTGCTATGTTAATAGCTTGCTAGACCCTGCAAGAGCCTCCTGTATGTGATTAAAGTGCAATTTAGAGATTGAGATACAATTATTTAAGGTAAATTACATCTGTTTGAAAGTAAAACCAGTTTTTTTTTTTTTTATGCAGGCTCTGTCCATCATAGCCATGGGAGGTGTGGCTAGGGCTGCATAAACAGAAACAAAGTGATTTAACTCCTAAATGACAGTGAATTGAGCAGTGAAATTGCAGGGGAATGATCTATACACTAAAACTACTTTATTTAGCTAAAGTAATTTAGGTGACTATAGTGTTCCTTTGAAATAACTTCCCTAACCCTAATTTAAACCCTCACTTAAACCTAAATGTCCCGTGTGCCTGCAGCACAGGATCAAGCTAATTTCCCTCACCGAAAGTGACAAGGGTAGGGGATTTTCACGAGGTAGGGGAATTTAATAGAACACCGGAGATTAGGTACAAAGAGGTATTATTACTTATAAAAGTGTAATCATCTCGAGGCTAAGCACTTGAAGCAGACGGTCGCATGGCCGCGGAGCTCCAGGCTAGAGAGCCAAATAAGCAATATTTTCGGCACCTAAACCCAAACCAAAACTTACCCACGGGTGACCCTGTGAACCACAAAGACCAAATGGGCCGCATGAGCAAGAAGGCGAAGCTCGACAAGCCCCGCCAGAGCACGGACATCGGGGAACTATGGCGGCAGGCGCACGATGCAGCAGGAGCCAAGATGGCGTCCCTGCATGGAGGCTGCTCAGACGGGTCGTCAGACGAAGAAGGGGGAGACCCCATGATGGCCCTGCCGATCCCACCGCCACCACGGGCACCATCACATGCGAAGGCCCCCACTCCTGTGACCATGGGGAGCTTATGGCAGACCATCATAAGAAGATCGCGGCCGAAGTGGCCCTGATTAGAGAGGACATCAAAGGCATAACTGACAGGTTGGGAGCGGTAGAGGCCTCCTCATCCAACCACACTAACCAGATTGCAGACCTTCAAGCAGCGATCAAGGATCTGCAGCAAAAATCCTGGCAGCATGAACAACAAATAGCCGCCCAAGAAGACAAGCACCGCCGAAACAACCTAAAAATCAGGGGAGTCGCCGACTCCATACTAGAGGCTGAACTCCCACACTTCGTTAGAAGACTCCTCACTGAGATGTTAACCCCAAAAGCATCGAAAGCAATCACCCTGGAAGGGTCTATTTCGCATACCACGACCAGCGAAGGCCCCACATGCCGCCCCAGGGGATTTAGTACTCCAGTTTCAATCAGCCAGGGACAAAAAGGCGGTCCTGGAGGCCACAAGAGGTCAGTCAGCTTACCCCTTCGAAGGGATGACCTTCTCCTTCTACACGGACCTCTCGGGAGGGACACTGGCGTGGAGGAGATCCATGAGTACATGCACGGCACTCCTGCACCTCCACCAAATCCGATACCGCTGGGTCCTGGGCCGCGCCCTCCACATCGACCAGGGAGGCATCAAGCACGTTGTCCACGACATGCAAGAGGCCACAGGGACACTGGGGTTACTTAACCTCCCCACAGAACTACTGGCTCAAGCGACGCACGCAGCAGGCCATACGCGCCCACTCGGAAGACACTCCGCGAATGCCCCAGAGTTTGTATCCCGGAGGCCGCCCATGGACTCATATGCCAAGGCCACCACCTGAACTGAACTTTGCCACATGTGACCCACACCAACACCACACCATCCCGCGCAAACATACATCCATGCAGGTTGCTTTGTTGATGTAACCAGGGCTATCGCCTCCTCCATTCACACCCTCCAACACACGATACCTCCCCCAGATGCAGACTTGTCCCAGGACACACACAATCACGGGGCAGGAGAGGACCCCCCCCGACTGACTCACTTTTGGAGAGCCGATGACTTACTACCCCATCATAGACAGACGCGAGCAGGACCTACCCAAACCCCCTCCCCCACCCTGACAAGGGGCCCCCCACTACACTAAGAGGTGACACCAGGCCGAGGGCACCCCGACGGGCGACAGGATGGACGGACGCGGCCACTACACCTCCGACAGACCGCACTTACAACGGGGTACCCCCTCCCCGCCTAAACTAGTCACCACCCAGCACCCTGATCTCATAGAACACAACGGTGAGCTACCCACCCGGCACGAAACTAATGCTGGTACCTGTACTGTTGCTCCACGAGGCAGCGCCTAAGCTCCTCATTAATAATTTAAAACTGTGTACTTATTATATATATCACAGTCACAATCTCACACCTGAACTTTGCTGTAACGGCAACGTACACACGATGTTCCACTTTATTTTTATGTGTTATGTGTTATTGTTTTAACCAGTCTAGTTCCAGCGGACACTACCTTATACCAGCGCCTACTAGGCCACTAGCTTCACTTTAACACTCAGCGTAGTTAACAATAGCGGCAGCAGTTAAACCTTACCTACCGCTAACTATTATCTATACGGCCCTAAGCATACATGTACCCTAGATAAGTCGAGAAGGTAATTGTGTTGTGGATAGAAAGATAAAACTATATCTATATAAAAAATATATCTAAATATAAAATTTAAAAAAGGGATATTATTTGGTACATACAATTACAAAATAGAATTAATCTCAAAATTCATATTGATACCTTTAGGTACTAATGTGCGCAGTTCAAAAATCCATTTTGCTTCTTGTAAACTAATTTTTTTGCCAATATTGCCTCCTTTCCAATACACAGTTCCCTTCTCAATAGCAAGAAACTCTAAATCATTTGGGTCTTAATTTTTCTAAAATGTGTTTGGACACATTGTGGTTGATAAAACCTCTCTTTATATTTCTAATATGTTCACTTATCCTGATTTTAAAGCCCTGGAGGTTTTACCCACATATTGATGTCCACAGTTACAGCTTAATAAATAAAGTACACTTTTAGAATGACAGGTAATAGGACATTTTATATTAAAAGACTTTTCAGTAATGTTTGATTTAAAATGTTTTACACTTTTGTTACTAAGATTAGTATTTTTACATGTGTTACATATAACGCAGTGATAAAAACCCTGCTGAATTTCTGCACAATTTGTTAAAAAAAATGTTGGGTTTTCTTTTTCTATAAAAGTTTTTGTTAAGATCTGTTTACAATTCCTAGCTCCCCTAAAATTAAATCTAGTTTAGGGCCTATATATTTTAAAATGTTATATTCTTGCGTTTAGATATGCCTATCTATCTATCTACAGTTGCAAGAAAAAGTATGTGAACCCTTTGGAATGATATGGATTTCTGCACAAATTGGTCATAAAATGTGATCTGATCATCATCTAAGTCACAACAATAAACAATCACAGTCTGCTTAAACTAATAACACACAAAGAATGAAATGTTGCCATGTTTTTATTGAACACACCATGTAAACATTCACAGTGCAGGTGGAAAAAGTATGTGAACCCCTAGACTAATGACATCTCCAAGAGCTAATTGGAGTGAGATGTCAGCCAACTGGAGTCCAGTCAATGAAATGAGATTGGAGGTGTTGGTTACAGTTGCCTGCCCTATAAAAAACACACACCAGTTCTGGGTTTGCTTTTCACAAGAAGCATTGCCTGATGTGAATGATGCCTCGCACAAAAGAGCTCTCAGAAGACCTACGATTAAGAATTGTTGACTTGCATAAAGCTGGAAAGGGTTATAAAAGTATCTCCAAAAGCCTTGCTGTTCATCAGTCCATGGTAAGACAAATTGTCTATAAATGGAGAAAGTTCAGCACTGCTGCTACTCTCCCTAGGAGTGGCCGTCCTGTAAAGATGACTGCAAGAGCACAGCGCAGACTGCTCAATGAGGTGAAGAAGAATCCTAGAGTGTCAGCTAAAGACTTACAAAAGTCACTGGCAAATGCTAACATCCCTGTTAGCGAATCTACAATATGTAAAACACTAAACAAGAATGGATTTAATGGGAGGATACCACAGAGGAAGCCACTGCTGTCCAAACAAAACATTGCTGCATGTTTACAGTTTGCACAAGAGCACCTGGATGTTCCACAGCAGTACTGGCAAAATATTCTGTGAACAGATGAAACCAAAGTTGAGTTGTTTGGAAGAAACATACAACACCATGTGTGGCGAAAAAAAGGCACAGCACACCAACCTCAAAACCTCATCCCAACTGTAAAGTATGGTGGTGGGGCATAATGGTTTTGGGCTGCTTTGCTGCGTCAGGGCCTGGACGGATTGCTATCATCGAAGGAAAAATGAATTCCCAAGTTTATCAAGACATTTTGCAGGAGAACTTAAGGCCATGTGTCTACCAGCTGAAGCTCAACAGAAGATGGGTGTTGCAACAGGACAATGACCCAAAGCATAGAAGTAAATCAACAACAGAATGCCTTAAACAGAAGAAAATACGCCATCTGAAGTGGCCCAGTCAGAGTCCTGACCTCAACCCGATTGAGATGCTGTGGCATGACCTCAAAAAAGCGATTCACACCAGACATCCCAAGAATATTGCTGAACTGAAACAGTTATGTAAAGAGGAATGGTCAAGAATTACTCCTTGCCGTTGTGCACGTCTGATCTGCAACTACAGGAAACATTTGGTTGAAGTTATTGCTGCCAAAGGAGGTTCAATCAGTTATTAAATCCAAGGGTTCACATGCTTTTTCCACCTGCACTGTGAATGTTTACATGGTGTGTTCAATAAAAACATGGCAACATTTCATTCTTTGTGTGTTATTAGTTTAAGCAGATTGTGATTGTCTATTGTTGTGACTTAGATGATGATCTGATCACATTTTATGACCAATTTGTGCAGAAATCCATATCATTCCAAAGGGTTCACATACTTTTTCTTGCAACTGTATATATATGAGACCACACACACAGTTAGGAAATGCTCACTGATTCACAGGTAGTGGAGCCCAGCACCCAAAAGCAAGGATTGTCAGTCAAAATAATATGACTATAGCACAAGGGTGGTTACACCTGCTAACACTGATTGCGTTGTTCTTAATGAAAATTATTCATAGTTTGTTGATTCAGTAAAATGCTACTTTTATTGTAAGAAACATTCCCAGGGCATTGCAATCAGTGTTAGCAGGCTTATCCAACCTTGAGCTATAATTTTACAAGGCTACTAAAAAACACATATAAGAGTTGAAGAAGTTTTCAAAATCAACAATTTTGAACAAAATTATTCAGGTTTTATTCCACTTGGCCCCATAAAGTTGAACACTACAGAGAGCTTAAAGAGTTACAATGGGCCTTGATTGGTAACCTAACCAAACACACATCCGTCTGGCATCCTTAGGAGCTGTACACGACAGAGGAAGAAAAAGAGACAGGGGAAGGGACATAAAACACCACTTGAATACGCGTGCTTACACTTGGAATATACAGATCATGCCATGTCACAACCAAAGTACACTCAGCCACTACTATCCATCCATGACTTACACAAACACATGCCATTATTTTGCATCCTAATTCACCCATGAAAAAAACAAATACCAGTTTCTGTTTCTAGTTTGTCAAGTGTATTTCCTTAGTCTACCGTACTGACGCACTATAAAATGTCCTTTCAGTATATTATGTTTGTGTACGGAATTATGAAAGGGGCGTATACTTAAAGTGAATGTAGTTTTTGATAAACAAGAGTCGGTTGAGGTGTGTCAAAACCGACGAGAGGTTAGGCCTGTAAAAAAGAGGGCCCACCTGGATAGATTGATAAGAAAAGAGGGTGTGGTGGGAGGGGAATTTCCGGAATCGATGAAGACAGGTAAGCAATGGGTTTACTGGGTTATATAGGCCTTAAATCCCTCCCACAACTTCAGGCATATGCTTTCTATTTTTGTACAGGATTATGAAAGGGGCGTATACTTAAAGTGAGTGTAGTTTTTGATAAACAAGAGTCGGTTGAGGTGTGCCGAAACCGACGAGAGGTTAGGCCTGTAAAAAAGAGGGCCAAAAAGTATCTAAACATGTTTATTTATTACCACAACAACAACATTATTTAGACATATTATAGAAAGCGAGGCTGATTTCTTTCTCTGGGTTTGGAATGTACCGGTGGTATGCAGAAGATTTCCAGCGACCCATTTTCTTTATGATATGTGTTGGAACCTGACTACTTGAGGCTGCCCTAATACGGAATGAGTGTCCTGAGAAGGAATTCGGATTGAGGCCAAGTCTGAGTAATAAAGAATGTATGTATAGCATGAACTGTTTAGTAGTAAGTGGCTTTCCTTGTAGGGACAACAGAGGTAGTTCTTGATTTCTAATATGCTGATTTTTTATCAAGTTATCTAGTACTTGAAATGGGCACCATTTGGAACCGGTAGGGAAATACTTAATCTCCACTGGGGGGCCTGCTTGGTTTGTTTTTGTGCGGGGGATCGACAGAATGTAATGATCGTTTACTTTGGTTAAGTTTTTTTGTTTAAGACAAATGTCAATGTCAGATATTTTCTCTACCGAAAATTCTTTGGGTCTTAGAAATCCGAAAAAGGCCAAATAAGTTGCTGATTTAATTACCAGGTTAGTGGTATGTTCAAAATGACTTTTATCCAATAACTTGGAGATATCTTGGAAGATGTTGCTGTCTATGGGGAGTCTCTTGAGGGATTTTTAGTCTGTGGATACCTTTTAGTATGTTTTTTATGGGGTATGTGGATAAGAAAGGAGTCTTGTTTGGATAAAGAGTTAGCATGAAATGTTGTATCCCCGTTAAGTATAGTTTGATGGTATTGTAGGCTAGTTTTAACGAGAAGTGGCAAAAAGTTGTAAACGCAACCATGGTTTCTACAGAAAAATGATTTATTATGTTAAAGTCACAAACAAATTTTTTGTACGTGTCAAATGCCCTATCGTACGCTTTTTAAGTGTTTACTGACAACCCTGCCTGTGCGAGAATTCTACTGTGAGCTAATAACTGGTTTAATGCATGATTAGGTCTTTGAATTGCGGAGGAGTTTTGGGTTGCTTGTTCGCTGTAGGGTGCAGTCTGAAAAATTCCTGTAAATTGAAACGTGACAAAGCGTCAGCTGCGTTATTGAAAATGTCTGGAACATGAATACAACAAATGTAAAACTGCAAATTTGCTGCCAACCATGTAAGTTTCACTAACAATTGTTTGTTAAAAAAAAACCCCAAAGAATCTAAATGGTTTATGTGATACAACTCAATATTTGTTTAGCTTGTAAAACAGGCGTTCTATGACTGTATCAGAATTCCAAATGTATCGTTAATGAATGCAAATATGCTTTGTAACTTGAGGCTTAATTATTTACTGTGTATATATATATTTGAGTGGTATATGTGAACTGTAGCTATTTAATACAAAAGATTTAGCCGAACAGAGTACAGAACATCATTTATGCGGGTTTAAAAGAATGAAACACACGAATAGAGCTGGTATTTGAATAAGATTGCCGAAATGGATTATACGAACGCTTTCCGATTATTGAAATTGTTGGTTTCTCATGAACGTTGTCTGTTATGTAACCGAATGACTAAATTCACGAAAGGAAGTTTACACGAATGAGCCTATGTTCGTATTGAGAAGACTTACAGTTGAGGTAGAAACTTGCCGACTGGGTCCCGTTTGTGTGTTATACTCACGAATCTTGGCGTGGCAAAATGACGTCAGAGGTCTGCGTGAACCGAAAGCGAATTTCTGGAATCGATGAAGACAGGTAAGCAAGGGGTTTACTGGGTTATATAGGCCTTAAATCCCTCCCACAACTTCAGGCATATGCCTTCTATATATAATACAGTTGAGAGTGCACAACTACCTGAGCTCAAACTATGTCTACTGGATCACTCAGTTTTGCTTGAACTGGTATATGCATACCCTGTATTTCACAACCTGTGTAATAATGTAACCATGAAAGCTTATTCGTGTAACAAATGTGGACATATATGCATTGTGATGCACCTGATTTTGAAAACTACGACCATGTCTGTATTCCAAGACTTCACAATGCCTGTTATGTGTATTTCAAAGACCAGCAGCAACTGATGTCATGCCCATACTACCTGTAACAGACTGCTTGATCCATGTTATTGTCAATGTTATACAAGTGTGAATGCTCAATAAAAATATAAGAATAATCATTTAAAAAAAATAAAAATAAAACACATTCATGTTTTATTATAGCCTAATATAAACCGTATCTTTCAATTGTCTAAACAGTTAACTATAGATTAGATTTCTTATTGTCCTATGTTTTGTGCCAAGAGGAATTGGTATTGAAGATGGTAAAGGAAACAGGTCAATTATTTTTCATTATTTCAGTAACTGTGGAAAAAGTTCAAGAAGGTTGAATGAATATAATCATTGACATACAGGTAAAAAAAAAAAGTGACAAACAAGCAAATACTCACAAAAAGTTTATTTAACCTTCTAAAGACTTTATATTTTATTCAGATTTAAAAACAAAACATTATGAGATTTATATTTCCCAGGACGTTTATTACAAAAAAATGTATTTTACAATTTACTCATTCCAGTAGTCACACTTCATGGTAGGCACAGGAAAAATTTACATTCCATTTGACCACAAATTGTTTTCCATCCAAAATAGCGTGGATTGTAAGTGTGGAACACAACTGGCCAGGTTTGCAAACTTGCTTTTGATACACCAATATTAAGCCTGATTAAGCACGAAACCTATGCTTGTGAAAGGGCTAAGCTATATTTAACCTTTGTCATGGTCTTGCAAAAAATGTTTTTTTTGCTGAAAAAGGAAAAAAATTGTCAAACACCCTCTCTACTTGCCTACTTTCCCTGGTGATCTAGTAAGCGAGAAAGGGTTTAAGCCTTGATCAACCAAGTGTGATCCTTTACAGTCCCTATGTCACCTAAATAATGCTAAGAACCAGGGAGATATGATTTCCTGGGGCTTTGATCGTTAAGCCTAGATTGGATCACATGGAAAATCAATACTGTGGTCTGTACCATTAGTGGTATGGACCTTTGCTCCATACGGAAGGGGCAACTGGAGAAATGTTAAAATATTAAACATGCAGGAGATTAGCTGGTAATCGTTAACATCCATGACCATTGTATCTTTTGGTAAATTTACAAAATTTGTACAATATCAGTTCACCTAGCACAGATAGGATTGGGAACACCTACTAAAACTGACAAGTGCTTTCCAAACAATTTACTCCAACAAATCCACATTACAAAAACAATGTTCCTTTACAATGTTATTTTTCCATCACTAAAATACACACTTTAGTTTACATGGACACATATTCCTTATATAGATCGTACTAAACATAAATTAAAGGGACACTATAGTCACCAGAACAACTACAGCGTAATGTAGTTGTTCTGTTGAGTATAATAGCTCCCTTCAGGCATTTTCATGTAAACTCTGCCTTTTCAGAGAAAAGGCAGTGTTTACATTGCCCCTAGGGATCCCTCCAAGTGGCCACTCCTTAGATGGCCACTGGAGAGGCTTCCTGGCTCAGGGCTACACAGTAAGCAGCCCTGCTGTTCAGCGTCCCCACGCTCTGCATGAAGACGCTGAATTTTCCTCATAGAGATGCATTGATTCAATGCATCTCTATCAGGAGGTCCTGATTGGCCAAAATGGCATTTGGCTCCGCCCCGTGCCAATTTTAGCCAATCCAATGCTTTGGGAAAGCATTGGATTGGCTAAAAATCGGCCATTTCAACAAAGTAACAAAGGGGTGGAGCCAGCGCCGGCAGACCTGCACGGCATTGGAAATAAGGTGAGTTTTATACTTTTATAGGGGGCAAGCCACCTAAATGGTGGGTTTAGCACTATAGGGTCAGGAATACATGTTTGTGTTCCTGACCCTATGGTGATATTTCAAGTAAACTTGATGTTAATCAGTCTAACTCTCCATCCTAACTAACCAATATGTTTTAGTTCTTACTTTTAATGTTTCAGATTCTACATTTCAGTTTGTTTTCTGAATAATTGCTCTTGCAAACTATCGCTAACTTACAGTAAAATATATCATGTATTGGTGCAGCTGGTACCAAAGTGATGTAGAAATCATTCATGGATTTTTATTCAATGAAGTGTAACTTGTGGCAAACTGCAAGATATAGTCCTAAACTGGCAATTTTCCTAGTTTAGCAGATTTGTCCTACATTTTGCAACTTTTGCTAATCAAAGTTTACGGTTCTAAAATATATATAATCATTCCTACTAATGTAAGATAAATGCAGGTTTAAGTTTAGTCACTGATTTGTACATTCTAAAAAATGAAACACAAATTTGCTGCTTTTTCCAGGCTGCATAATGCTGAAAATAGAGTTCAGGTGGTCCTCATTTAGCGACCTACCTGTTTTACGACGGCTCGCACTTACAACCAGGCGTAAGTGCGAGCCGCATTGGGGATTCCCCTCTCTGGTGCGTTCGTCTATGTTCAGTGAAGTTTCCCCGAACATAGATGAACGCACCTGAGCAGGGAATCCCTTAACTCCTCACTTACCAAACAATTTGTTCTACGACCGGGTCCAGGTACCTGACATTACTCAAGCATATGAGGAGTCAACAAAGGTCACTATGAAATAATCCATTTATTACACTGAAATCTGTCTTTTTGGACACATTTGCAATTAAGCATTTAACTATTAGTACTATGATTTAAAATAATTTAAACTTATTAGTAAGTAAATTGGTTGCTGTTACTTTGCAAAGTACTACCCTGGCATTCTTTGTAAAGTAATACTTGAAGCACCATAACCACTACCATGCTCTGCAGTGGATATGATGCCTCCTCTCCATGTAAGCAGTCAAACCAGTTTCTAACACTTTTGCCTTCTTACTTGGGGACTGCCAGGTGCTGGCCCCTGCCTCTCCTCTTCCTGCAAAGAAAGGAGTTTCTGTTAGATCTCCAGAATTAAGCCTTGCAGTGCATGGCCAGCTCATTGGCTGAGTGTCTTGTATCTGATGGAGGTGGTGCCAGAGGGAAACAGAATGCATTTATAAGAATACACATATCCTATGCCAATATCTTGCTTTCATCTCTCAACCATATCCATATTCTCAACATCGGCGATCTGGGAAGCGGAAAGCTGGTTGGCGGAGTAAAAAGAGGTAGGCCACTGAGGCGAATCATGTCACTAACACTGCCCAAAGGGGCAGTCCCGCCCAGAAAGAGGGCAGGTCTGCCCAAAGAACTGAAAGGTCAGTCCAGCATTTGTACATGCCAGACTGCCTGCCAATCACACAGGCCTGTCAACTAAGGGGCGGAATATGCAGACAGCACTGTTTTCGCACCCTGAGCTTGCTGCAAACACATCTAATGATGCACTTGCTCTAGGCTTTCTGGGGAAACCAATCACTTGTCCACTCCTTTCCTTCCCTTCTTACTAGCAGGCAGAAGATCCTGGTATGTAGTTTGGTACAGAGAAAAAGGTGAATGTAGTGAGTACAGCAGAAAGGGGACATGCCATATTGTAGAGACAGAAGCAGCAAGAGTATTTGCATACACTGCAAAGTCAGATTTTTGTTAAGTATTTTATAGTTTTGTCCCCCTGTATCCTTTCTAAATTCCTGTACATAATTCCACCTGCACAGTGAGAGTAGTAACAAAAAATATTTTAAAAAAAATGAAGACCTGCATCTGGCTTGAATCAGGTAAGAATTCAAACCATCATCAAATGGTCTGGCTATTTTCTTTGGTGTGGGGGACGTCAGAGTAGTTCTGGTACCATAGCCACTACAGTGTAGAGAAGTGGTTA